GAGTGGGCGCTGCGCCAGAGTCGGGCTCGGCCCTTGCGCCGCCGACGGCGCCGCGGGCGTCGCCGCTGGGCCTGCCGCGTTCCGCGTGCTGCGCGGGGAGCTCTGTTCGCGTCGATGCGGCGGGCGCGGGCAGCGCCGCAGGGGCCGCGTTTGCGCGTGTCGCGGCGGGCCCAGATGCGGCAGGGCAGACGCCTCTGTCTGCGCCTCTGTCCGGGGCAGTTGTCGCTGGCGGTGCCACCGGCGCGCGTCGCGGCTGACGGACGGTCTGCCGGGCGGGGCAGGGGCCGTGGCCGCGCCAGGGATGCGACATGGGCTTTGGGTCTGGCGACGGGTCGGGTCGCGGTGCCGGGCGACGCAGAAACGCGCCAGGGCGACTCGGACTCGCGCTTCTCGAGCGCCCCGGGACGAGAGGGTCAGAGTTGAAAGCGTGCTTTCGATTGATGACGCGGCTGGCGTGCCAGACATGCTGCGACCGTCGCCGCCAGGCCAGGATTTGTGCTGAGAAGCGCACGGAGCTCGCAGGGAAGATGTTTTGCGCGAGTTGCAGTGGCTCTGCGGTGCTGCTTCCTCCCTGGGCATTTGTAACCGGTGGGGGCCGTGTCCTGTGGCTGCAGTCACACAGCTGCTGTTTCGGGCGGAGCTGCTTCGACGGGTCCTCGACGCGCGTGTGCAGCGAGGCTGTGCGCGGGGCGTGCGCCGCTGTCCCACGCGCGCTCTCGCGGCCCAGGCTGCCGCGCTGTCCGCGCAGGGCGGCGGAGCGGACCGAGTGGCCTCGCTTGCCGAAGCTGTGCGGCACGGGTTGTTCCACAGGGGCGAGTTCCAGTGGGGCCAGTGTGATGCGGCATCGTTTTTTACAACAAAAATCGCCCTCGCTGCCCTGGGTGCAGCGGAAGTCCCGACCTGTGCCAGAGATGGGCTGTTCGGGGAACGCTCTGCTGTGAGGCGGGACATGTTTGGGATATTTTCGCGCTGTGCAAGGTATTGCGAGATTCGCAGGTTTGTTTCGGATTCCACAGAGATTCAAAACATGTTCGAAGTGGACCCGCAGGAGGTGTGTACTTATCGGGAAGACGCCGTCGACTTGAATTCTCTGCTCTGGTACCAGGTCCGGCACGTCGCGCGCGTTGACGGCGCGCGCCCGCGTAATGCGCATCTCTCGAATACAGAACGGGTCGCGCTGGACGCGTGTGGTGGCAGGGCAGCCGCGCATGCGTTCTGGGACCGCCTGCCGCCCGTGTTTTTTTGTCACCGTGAAACGCGCGTGCGGGAGGCACGACCCGGCCCATAAATGGCGCGACAGGCGGCGCATTGTTTCCCCACAGACTTTGACGTCGGAGGAAGGAGGGTGCGAGTACAAGTTTTTTGGGGTCCTTGTGCACATACCTGGGAACGCTTCGCGGCCGTCCGCGCACAGCGGGCATTGCATTGCGTCCGGGGTGGTCGGCGACAATCAGTGCGCGTGCTTCGACGAAAGTTGAGATTTACTTTTGTCCTGGTCGGATTATGCAATTTGCCAAGAGTTTCAACGCGGGGCGCATTTGTGTGCATGTGTTCGCTCGGCGGGCGCGCGGGCCGATGAAGTTGGGCTCGAAGGCGGCGACCCTGCTTCGAGTGCCTCTGGCGCGTCGCCTGCGCCGCGGGGTGCCCCGGCGGGCGCGGGCGGCGGCGCCCCTGCGGGTGATTCTGGCGCGCCGCAAGGCCCTCGCAGCGCGGCAAGCGGGGGGGCGTCCTTAGAGGGCGAGCGTGGCACTGGTGCCGCGTCTTCTTCGTCGGGGCAGCCGCCGCCGCCTGTGCGCAGGGAGCAAAACCACAAGGCGTCAGTGCTGGCTGCGGCTGCAGATGACGGTGGCGACATTCGCGCGGAAGCGGAGGTTTCGTCCGAGGAGCAGGCGCCTGGTGAAATGGATTCGCGCGCGGGGCCGCAGCGGCGGCGATTCATGCCGGCCAGAGTCGATCCGGCGAAGTGTGCGGCTCGCGCGCGGGGGCAACGCGCTGGCGCGCAGCGCGGCTTTGCGCCCCCTGCGGGCCGCGAGGGGTGCGTAGAAAATATTTCGCGCAGCGGGAAGGCCGTGGTTGGCACGGGCGAGTGGGCGGGCCCATTCCTGATGCAAAGTTGATGGAATTCCAGAGGACGGGTGCTCGCGCGTGTCCGCGTGGCCCGCCTGAGGCCGACGTGCGCTCCAGTGCTCAGGCCTCGTTAACTCATCCAGTGCCTCGCTCATCCAGTGCTGTATTCATACAATCGCCTAGCTCATCTGGTGTCTAAGCCATCTGGCGCTACAACTCCAAATCCCGAACTCATCCAGCCCAGAAGACAGGGAGGAGGAGAGAAGGTGGAGGACGTGCAGGAGGGAGAACGAGGAGAAAAAGAAAAAGGAGGAAGGGATCAAGGGGGACATGGAGGATGCGGAGGACGAGGAGCAGGATCGATCATGGAAACGTGGAGGGAAACAACTGGGAGGAGGACGGTTGGGAACAGGCAGGAAAGCGAGGAATGTTGAGAAGAAGCGGCATACGCCAAGCGATCGGCAAAGATGAGCACGCATGCGCATACATTTTCGGAAGCCCTCTCGGATCTCTTGCGTCGACACCGGGCCCCGACTCAGGCGGGCGCCGCCCTTCGCGCGCCAGGCACAACTCGAGAGCAGTCCAGCGCCAACTCCAGATCTCCGCGCGAGCCTCCGAAAGTTTATGCGTAGGCTGCAGCTCTTCGACCGAGTCAGTCGAAGAATCTCTGACATCACCCCATTGGCGCCCCCGCCAGAGACCTCACTCTAAACGAGAGACGCCAATCTCATCCAAAACCATATTCATCGGGTGCCAGGCTCATCCGGTGCCAAACTCATCCGGTACCAAATTCATCCAGTGCCAAACTCATCGGGTGCCACACTCATCGGGTGCCAAGCTCATCCAGTGCTAAACTCATCGGGTGCCAAACTCATCCGGTACCAAATTCATCCAGTGCCAAACTCATCTGGTGCCAAATTCATCCGGTACCAAACTCATCTGGTACCAAGCTCATCCAGTCGCGGTTCACCCGAACCGCGGATCGGATGAGCCGGAGCGGATGAGTCGCAAGCATATGAATCAGCCAGTCTCCGTTTGTTCGCGTGCTTGTGAGGGTCGCTGTGGTCACTATCGTGGCTGTCGTGGTGGCCGCCGTGGTGTGCTTGCTTGTCGTGGATGCCGCTGTAGTTGTCGTGGCTGTCGTGGTGGCCGTCGTTGTGCGTTTGCTCGTGGGAGTCGCTGTCGCGGCTGTCGTGGTGGTCGTCTTGGTGTTTTTGCTTGTGAAATTCGCTGTCTTGGCCGTCGTGGTGGCTGTCGTGGTAGCTCGTGGTGTAACTGCTCGTGGGGGTCGCTGTAGTAGCTGTCGTGGCTGTCGTGGTGATTGCCGTAGTGTGCTTGCTTGTCGTGGGTGCCGCGGTGGCGGTCGCAGCTGTCGTGGTGGCCGTTGTGGTGCACTTGCTCTTGAGTGCCATTGTCGTGCTTGTGGTGGCTGTCGTGGTAGTCGTCGTGGCGTGCTTGCTGGTGCGGGTCCCTGTCGTGGCTGTCGTGGCAGTCGTGGTGGCCGTCGTTGTGCGCGTGCTCGTGAGGGTCGCTGTTGTGGCTCTCGCGGCGGCCGCCGTGGTGTGCTTGCTTGTCGTGGAAGCCGCTGTAGTTGTCGTGGCTGTCGTGGTGGCCGCCGTGGTGCGTTTGCTCGCGCGAGTCGCTGTAGAGGCTTCCGTGGCTGTCGCGGCGTTTCACATGGTGTGGGTGCTTGTGGAAGTCGCTGTCGTGGACGGCGTGCCTGTTGTGAGGGCCGCTGTGGTGCGATTGCTTACCGTTGTGGCCGCCGTGGTGTGCTTGTTCGTGAGAGTCGCTGTGGTCGCTGCCGTGGTGGTCGTAGCTGTCGTGTTGTCGTCGCTGGTGGAGCTTTGGAGATGTAGTAGTAGAGCGCATTGCTCGTTAAAGAGTTGTTAGAGTCGGTCGTAGTGCTCGCTGTAGAGCTGCTGCAGTCGGTCGCTGTGCTCGCTATGTTGCTCTTGTGGTGCTGGTCGCGGTAGGTGTGTTGGAGGTGGTTGTTTGCTTCTGTCGTGTTGTGGTCGGCTATTGATGCTCGGCGCGTGTGCTGGTGGAGGCGGCGGCTGCCAATGTCTGGATAGCAAGAGTGGCCTAGGATATACGCAAATGTCATGCACGGTATTGTAGCTGTGTTGCACTTGCGGCTGCAGGCCAGTCTTGAGTTGAGTAGTAATCTGTTTGGTAGCCGGGTGAGCGGGCACTATATGAGTACGGCTGTCGCGTTGTCTCCTTTTGGCCGAGCTGCTCTGGGACTGAACGTGGAGCTGCTGGAGTCGCTCGCCATGCTCCTTATGGTGGTGCTGGGGATGCTCGTAGAGCTGGCCGTCATACTGCTGATGTCGGTGCTGGAGGTGCGGGCGGTGCTGGGGTTGATAGTTCTGCAAGTCGTAGTGCTGAGGTCGAGTTTGAGATCGGTGCTTGACGTTGTAGTACTGAGCGACATGGTGCTGACCGTGGTACTGCTGAGGTCGGTGCATGACGTTGTAGTGCTGGTAATACTGGCTGTGCTGGTGGTACTGGTGGCCGTGCTGTTGGTGTCGTAGCTGGCCGTCGTTCTGCCGAGGTCGTTGCGGGGCGTTGTAGTGATGGTAGTGTTGGCTCTGGTAGTGCTGGAAGCGTTGGTGATGCTGGTTGTGCTGGTCTGGCTGTTGGTGCTGCTCGTGCCATCCGTGGTGCTGGTCGTACCCTCTATGATTGCTGAATTTCTGTACCCTCCATGTTGGTAGAAGTACCTGTCGCACTGTCCATGCCATCCGTGTTGATTGACAGAACTGTCGTCACAATGTCGCCGATGAATGCGTCTCATGGTCGATCAGCGGCAGTTCTGACTTCACGATTGAGAAACGGAGGAAGCTGTAAGATGTAAGAGGGAAGTAAGTGCGTAGTAATATGAGACATGATATGTATCGGAAAACACTACTGTCGGGGCTGGCCCCGTGATGGCGGGGCGCGCCGCCACGGCCTTCGCTACGCCGTGGCTTCTCCTCCAACCTCCTCGTCCTCCTATTTCTATTTCTGCGCAAGCCGCCCTGGCTCGAGCATCCTCGGGTTCGTACGGGCGACGGAGCGTAGGGGGCCCGCGAGCGAGCTTCCCAGCGCCGCGGAGCCGTCTCAGAGCGTCTCGCCTTAGCGGGTGCCTCCCTATGAGCAGGCGCGCCCAGCAGGTGAAGCGCGTCTCCTTCATGGACAGTTGCCTCCCTCATGAACAGGCGCGGTCTGCAGCGGCCGCCGCCGACGACGCAGGAGCGTGTTTTCCTGGAAAGGGCACGGGCCCAGGGTTCTCTTTAAATGGGTTCTCCCTGGTTTCGACGGCTGTTGGGACAACGAGGTCGCGAAGGGCCGGCGAAATTCTTTTTGAGGATATGCCTGGCGAAAAGGCTGTTGTATATCAGTTTGTTGAGGATGTCTCAGGCGAAACGCTGGTTTTGCGGAGTTTGGGGATGTCTCGAGCGGGGGCCTCGTGGGGGGCCAGAATCCAGAGGATGTCTCAGGCGAAATGCTTGTTTTAGCGTGCCCAGGCCATTCAGCGGGGTATCTAACATGGTTGTCCCTCGCTGGTGCCCCAGACGACCGCGTGTTGGATATACCCCCTGGGTGGGCTGGAACAATGAGTTTTTACGCGTGCAGGCCATCAGGTGGGTATCTAACATGGCGTCGGGTCCAACGCCGAATTATCAGGAAAGGCACGGGGGCCGAAAGCGCAACCCGAACACATGTCCCAATACAGAAAAGTTCCATTTTGGTGCATTGGACAGTGGGTGGCGCTTTGGGGGCCTCTCCAGGGAAGACGTTGCGAGGATGTCTCGAGCGGGAGCGCGAATTCAGCGTATCCAGGCCACGCAGGGGGGTATCTAACCAAGTGTTTTACATGTCATTGCCACCCAGGAGGGTATCTAACATGATTGTCCCGAGCAAGGAACCATGTGTTTTAACGTGTCCAGGCCATTCAGGTGTGTATCTAACATGGTTTTCCCGAGTTGGCACCAGGTGTTTTGACGTGTCCAGACCACCCAGGGGTGTATCTAACATGATTGTCGCGAGCAAGGACCACGTGTTTTAACGTGTCCAGGCCACCAAGGGGTGTATCTAAGATGGTTGCCCAGAGCTGGATCCAAGTATTTTTAGGTGTGCAGGCCACCCAATGGGGTATCTAGTATGATTGTTCCAAGTTGGAACCATGTGTTTTTACATGTCCAGGCCGCCCAGGGGGTATCTAACATGGCGTCGGGCCCAACGCCGGCCGAATTATCAGGAACCGCACGGGGGGCCGAACAGCGCTACCCGAACACATGTCCCAATCAAACAAAGTGTTCTTGCTCTGGGCAGGGGGTGGCGCGTTGGGGGCCTTTCCAGGGAAGACATTGCGATTCGAGCAACACGCTTGTTCAATGCTATAGCTTGTTCCTCTCCTGGGGACCACAATTCAGAGGATGTCTCAGGTCGCAGGCTTGTGTTACGTATGTTCTGTAATTCGATATGGATTCGGGGAGCGCTTCTCGTTGCCCCCCGCAACCCAGGACGGCCCAGGAGGCCCGAGAAGCGTAAAAGCACGTGGGTTCCTAACGCCACAGGGCGGGACAAGCCTGAAAACACATGGGCTCCTAACGCCCCATGGCGGGAGACGCGTGAGCACACATTGGTTCCTAACGCCCCAGAGCGGGAGAAGCGCGAACACACATGGGTTACTGACGCCCCAGGGCGGGAGACGCGCAGCACACGTTTTTTTGGTCGGCGGGGCGAGAGCGAACCTCTTCCGCTAAAAGCTAGAACACGCAACACACACACACACACACACACACACGGGCTCCTAACACCCCAGGGGGCCCCAGGAGGCCCCAGCACAGCTCTTCGGCACGGTCCATCAAGATCGATACACTCAGCATTGCAACCTGGCACGTTCCTTGGCGCGTCCCGTGGCGAGTCCCCTTGGCACGTCGCGCGGCGCGTCCCCTGGCACGTCCCGTGGTGCGTACATTGGCACGTTTCGTAGCGCGTCCTCTTGGCACGTCCCGCGGTGCGTTCCCATGGCACGTCGCCTGGCGCGTCCCTTGGGACGTTCCGCGGCGCGTCCTCTTGGCATGTCCCCTTGTCGATTAGCCCTGGGGAAGCTACTATGTGCTCAGGCAGCTCGAGCTTAAGATCCAGATCAGTTCGGTCAGGACTCGGATGCAAAGCAGGACTCGACCCCCAACACTACAGCACAATCGCGGCATGGCACATCGAGGGGGAGGGGGAGGGGGAGGGGGAGGGGGAGGGGGCAGTTCAGCACGGAGCAGCATAGCACAGCCCTCGGCACGGTACATCAAGATCGATACATTCAGCATTGCAACCTGGCACGTTCCTTGGCACGTTCCGTGGCGCATCCCGTGGCAGGCCCCCCTGGCGCGTCACGCGGCGCGTCCCCTGGCACGTCCCGTGGCACGTCCACTGGCACGTTCCGTAGCGCGTCCCCTTTGCACGTCCCGCGGTGCGTCCCCACGGCACGTCCCCTGGCACATCCCTTGGCGCGTCCCCTGGGACGTTCCGCGGCGCGTCCTCTTGACATGTCCCCCTCTTGATTCGCCCTGGGGAAGCTACTATGTGCTCAGGCAGCTCGACCTTAAGATCCAGCTCAGTTCGGTTAGGACTCGGATGCAAAGCAGGATTCGATCCGCAACGCTTTAGAGCACAATCGCGGCATGATACATCAAGATCGATACATTCAGCATTGCAACCCCGCACGTTCCCTGGCGCGTCCCGTGGCGAGTCCCCCTGGCGCGTCACGCGGCGCGTCGCTTGGCACGCCCCGTGGCACGTCCACTGGCACGTTTCGTAGCGCGTCCCCTTTGCACGTCCCGCGGTGCGTCCCCACGGCACGTCCCCTGGCGCGTCCCTTGGCGCGTCCTCTTGGCATGTCCACCTGCTCAGTAGCTCTGGGGCAGCTACTATGTGCTCAGGCACTTCGACCTTGAGATCCAGTTCAGTTCGGCCAGGACTCGGATGCAAAGGAAGACTCGATCCACAACGCTATAGAGCACAATCGCGGCATGGCACATCGCAGTTCAGCACGGCGCAGCACTGCACAGCCCTCGGCACGGTACATTCTAAAGAGCGTGTTCTGTGGTCGCTTGGAGGGGCAGGGGGGGGGTTCGAACCCCCCCCCGTGACGGAGGGGGGGGGTTCGACCCCCCCCGCCCCCCGTGGCGGCGGGGGGTGGGGTTCGACCCCCCCCCCCCCTGCCTCCCTTTCCTCTCCTCGGGTCGGCGCCTGCGTCGGCGGCGGCTGGCGGCGGCGGCGGGGGCGACGATCTCCTGTTCTGGGCCGGCGGCGGCTGGCGGCGGCGGCGGCGGGCGGCGGCGGTGGGGAGCGACGACGGTGGCGGTGGTGGTGGTGGTGTGGTAGATTTTAGTGGTGGTGGTGGTGGTGGTGGGTTTTTGTGGTGGTGGTGGTGATGGTGTGGTGGTGGTGGTGGTGGTGGTGGTGGCTGTGGTGGGTGGTTGTGTGGTGGTGGTGGTGGTGGTGGTGTTGGTGGTTGTGTGGTGGGTTGGTGGTGGTGGTGGTGTTGGTGGTGGTGTTGGCGGTGTTGGTGGTGGTAGTGGTGGTGGTGGTAGTTCTGGTAATCGTCACTGCGTCTCCGCCGCTCCGGCGCTGGCGCTGTTGGCCGCCGCCAGCGCCGGCGCCGGCGCGGCGCCAGGGGGGGGGGTTGAACCCCCCCCCCGCTTGGGCTGCCTCTGGTCATTGTCGCTACGTCCACGCCGTCGGCGCTACTGGCGGCCGCCAGCGCCAGCGCCGCCAGCGCCAGCGCCGGCGCCAGGGGGGGGGGCGTTCGGGAAATGGGGGGGGTGGAGGGGTAGGGGGGTCCCCCTTGTTTTGATCGACGGCGCCGGGTGTTGGGGGGGGGGGCCTACCCCACGGTTCGAAACGCGCCGCCGAATGCAATGCAAGCGCCTGTGAAACGAGCCCTCTCGTACATTAAGACCCATACAATCAACATTGCATGTTCCCGTCGCCCAATCAGTTGTCTTTGAAACGTTGCCATGCCTTGCATTTCTATATTCCTTTCCGGTTCCGTGGGTCGACCATGGTTTATTGTTCGGGCCATAACGCGCGTTATGGCCCCCCGCCCCCCTATCGTAACGCTCTGGCCGCCAACGCGCCCCCGTCACGGCCGCCGTGCGCATAGGGATCCGTATAGGAACCCGAATACGGATCCGCATAGGCATGCGCACAGAACTTCGCATAAGGATCCGCATGGGGATCGCATACAGATACCCATCGGGATCTGCAGAGGCATCCGCATTGGGATCCTGGGATCTTTATCCCAGATTCGCATAAGGATCTGCATAGGGATCCGCATAGAGATCCGCCTTGGGACGAGCATTGGGATCCCCAGATGTATTCGCAGAGGGGTCCGCAGAGGGATCCGCACAGGGATCCGCATGGCAAGTCGCATAGGCATCCGCGTAGGGATCCGCGTAGGGTCCCGCATAGGGATGCGCATAGGGATCCGCATAGATATCCGCATATGGGCGGTGGTCGCGGGCAAGTTTCAGTGTTCTCAGGCACTTGTGGTGTTCGTAGGAGATAGGGCAATAGGAGGAGAAGGACGACGACGACAGCGACCACGACGTCGGCGACGAGGATGGAGGAGGGAGGATTTCGTCGTCGTCGTCGTCGTCGCTCGTCGCCGTCGTCGTCATCGTCGTTGTCGACGCGCTTCGTTGTCGGTCGTCGTCGCCGTCGTCGTCGTCGTCGTCGTCGTCGTCGTCGTCGTCGCTCGCGGTCGCCCGTCGTTGTCACATGCCTTCGAATGCATTCGAGGGCATCTGGAGGCCTTCTGATGTCCTCCGGAAGGCCTCTGGAGGCTTCCAGAAGCTTCATGCGGCCTCTGGAAGCCTCGGGAAACCTGCGGAGACCTCAGGAGGCGTCGCTCGTCGTCCTCGCTGTCTTCGTCGTCGTCGTCGTCGTCGTCGTCGTCGTCGCTCGTCGTCGTCGTCGTCGTCGTCGTCGTCGTCGTCGTCGTCGCTCGTCGTCGTCGTCGTCGTCGTCGTCGTCGTCGTCGTCGTCGTCGTCGTCGTCGTGCGCGCGGACGCTGTGGTGGCGCCGGCACCGCGCGGCGGGGGTGCCCCCCCCCCGGTCCCCCCCATAGCGCTTGTGATCGCCGCGGAGAAACAGACGCGCTCCAGGAACACAGATCGCCCCGGAGGACGGCAGCCCAGCGCGAGAGCGCACCGACTCCAGGCGACCTGGGCGCGGCTCTGGCACAACGGCCCGCCCCTCGCCGCGTGCGGCGCCGCAGGATGTGGTGGCTGTGCCGGCGAACCCCTCTGGCGTGCCGACCAGCACGAGCCCCACGAGCACGGACAGCAGCAGGCCGAGCTGGAGCAGCGGCAGCTCCAGCGCCGAGGGCTCGGAGTCGACGGCAAGTGGCACCAGCGACCAGCGGCCCCGGCCGGACCAGCAGCCTGAGCCCCGCGGCCTCCCTGGGGACAAGACGGTGCGGCGGCAGGAGCTGTGGGAGGCCGCGCAGCGCCGCAGGGCCGCGCAACGGCAGGCACAGGCACAGGACAGCGAGGCGGCCGCGCCGCCGGACGGCCCCGACGGCGCCCCCAGGGGCGCCGAAGGCTCTGCGGGCGACGGCCGCATGCCCCGGGGAGGGCAGTGCCAGCAAGGCGGCCGTCGGCAGGGCCCCGTCGAGCGCTTGCACGGGGTCGGGGCAGGGTCCGGGCAAGCATCGGACGGCGGCAGCCATGCAGTCTGGACCATCGGCGATCAGCGTTCGATCCATACCCCTGCTGCTGATCACCACTGGGGTCGCCAGATGCAGCAGCGTGTGGAGTGAGAAACGTGGCCTCGGAGGCCCGAATTTTATCCATAACCCCGCTCTGGCCTCTCGTGACGAGGTTCGGGGCCTGAGCAGGGCCATGGATAGAATTTCGATCGCCTAGGCCAGCTCGATGGACACCGCCGCGCGTGCATCGGACCGGTCTGGTACATGGCTGGCATCGTCCAAGAGCACCCAGCCGGCGTGCCGCTTCTAGCAACGGCGCCTCCAGGTCGGGGCAGCCGGCGGAGTTCAGCGGCGACGCCCAGCAGCCGGCAGCGCGCGGGTGGTTCTTGCTGTAGTAGTCGCGTCCTTCTCATACTCGTCATGAAGTGCCCAGACATGCGGTCCCTTGCGTCGATGAGATTTTTCTCGCTTCGCGGGGTTCACGTCCGGAGCACGTGCAGTCCTGTCGTTGCGGGGCCTGGTGGGAGCTTTTTTGGGGCCTCTTGGAGGCCTCTTGTGGGCTTCTTGGGTCCTCTTGGGGACTTCATGGGTTCTCTTGGGAGCTGCTTTTGGGGCCTCCTGGGGCTGTCTTGGGGCGCTCTTGCGCCGTTGCGGGCTGTGTCGCGGGGGCCTTCGGTGGAGCTCCCTGCGGAGTCACGAAACGTGTGAGGGGTGTGCCGAAACGGGGGTGTCGCCCACATGTGGGCTGCGACAATGGGACCGTAGGTGGAGCATCCTGTGGGGCCACGAACCGCGAGAGGGGTGTGCCGAAAGGGGGTGTCGCCCACATGCGGGCTGTGCCACTAGGGCCTCGAGTGGGGGTCTCTTTGGTGCCACGAACCGCGTGAGGGGTGTGCCGACACGGGGATTGCGCCCACATGCGGGCTGCGCTACCGTAACCTTAGGTGGAGTTCCCCATGACGCCCCGGAACGTTATGGGGCCACGAACTGTGTGAGGGATGTGCCGACATGAGGGGTGGCGCCTACATGCAGGCTGCGCCATGAGGGCCTCAGGTGGAGCTTCCCATGGGGCCACGAACCGTGTGAGGAGCGTGCCGACAGGGAGGTGTCGCCTACATGCGGGCTGCGCCACTTGGGGCCTCAGGTGGAGCTCCCTATGGGGCCACGAACCGTGTGAGGGGTGTGCCGAAACGGGGGTGGCGCCCACATGCGGGCGCTCCAAACGGCACAGCTCACAGAAAGCAGAACCAGCCGAGTTGGCCCAGTAGGGCCATTCTGCGCCCAGTGCCGCTGATCCAGTGCGCTCCCGATGGTGCTCGGGTTCGCTTGGAGGCCTACGGGGCCGTCTTGGGGCAGTCGTATGAGGAGGCCTCTTGAGGATTTTTGTTGTGCCTTGGGGGCTCCTTGGAAGCTGTTTTGGCTGTCTTAGTGCATTCCTGGCCCGTCGGACGCCGTCGGGAGCCGTCTTGGGCGCCTTGCTGTATCATCCAGGAGCACTCTGGAGGCACTTCAGGGCCGTCTTGGACGCTATCCTGGTCGTCCCTCCGGGCTGTTTGGGAGCCCAGACAATCCCCAAGACGTGGCAAAACTGTCCCGAGAGGCCCCCAATAATGTCCTCGAAGGACAAGAATTGCCGAAGTATCGGTCCAAGTCGCGATAGCCTCCAGACAGCTTCGGAAGTTCCCGCTCCAAGGGCACTCCCAAGAGGGCCCCAAGGAGCAAAAATCACCGATTCCCCCTAAATGTTTGAAGGATTTCGGCATTCTCGCCTTGTCAGCTTCCCGACGCTCCAAGACAGGCCAAGAAGCCCACGGGCCACCACGGGACACCGCGGGACACCTCTCGATCTCACTATCGGTCTCACTATCGATCTCACTATCGATCTCACTCAACGGGACACCATAGGACACCACAGGACATCACGGGACACCTCGGGACGCCACATCGATCTCACTATCGATCTCATTGTCGACCTTTTCTGCCGATCGCATTCAAAGGGACACCACGGGACACTTATCGATCTCACTATCGTTCTCACTATCGATTTCATTACCTAACAGCGAAGACTGATAGGTTTCTAGTGGGGTCCAAAGATAGCATCATGACTCCCCAGGGGGGTCCGGGCGGCATCCGGACTGGGATCCGCGGAAGTCGTTTTAAGCAAACAGTTACACACTTCGTGGTTTTCGAGGTCCCAGAACTCCATTCCCGGGCCACATTCTGAATGCCCGGAGCCAATTGTAGGCCACTTCGTGGTCTTCGAGTTCCCAGAACTCCATTCCCGCGCCACATTTTGAATGCCCGGAGCCAACTGTAGGCCACTTCGTGGTCTTCGAGTTCCCAGAACTCCATTCCCGGGCCACATTTTGAATGCGCGGAGCCAACTGTAGGCCACTTCGTGTTCTTCGAGTTCCTAGAACTCCATTCCTGGGCATGATTTTGAATGCCCGGAGCCAACTGTAGGTCACTTCGTTTTCTTCGAGTTCCCAGAACTCGATTCCCGGGCCACATTTTGAATGCTGAGGCAGGCTGATGGTGAGGCTGAGGCAGGCTGAGGCTGAGGCAGGCTGAGGCTGAGGCTGAGGCTGAAGGCAGACTGAGTCTGAGGCTGAAGCAGGCTGAGGCTGAGGCTGAGGCAGGCTGAGGCTGAGGCTGAGGCAGGCTGATGCTGAGGCAGGCTGAGGCTGAGGCTGAGGCAGGCTGAGGCAGTCTGAGGCTGAGGCCGGGCTGAAGGCAGACTGAGGCTGAGGCTGAAGCAGGCTGAGGCTGAGGCTGAGGCTGAGGCAGGCTGAGGCTGAGGCTAAGGCAGGCTGATGCTGAGGCAGGCTGAGGCTGAGGCTGAGGCAGGCTGAGGCTGAGGCTGAGGCGAGGCTGAAGGCAGACTGAGGCTGAGGCTGAAGCAGGCTGAGGCTGAGGCTGAGGCAGGCTGAGGCTGAGGCTGAGGCAGGCTGATGCTGAGGCAGGCTGAGGCTGAGGCTGAGGCTGATGCAGGCTGAGGCTGAGGCAGGCTGAGGCTGAGGCCGAGGCTGAAGGCAGACTGAGGCTGAGGCTGAAGCAGGCTGAGGCTGAGGCTGAGGCAGGCTGAGGCTGAGGCTGAGGCAGGCTGATGCTGAGGCAGGCTGAGGCTGAGGCTGAGGCTGATGCAGGCTGAGGCTGAGGCAGGCTGAGGCTGAGGCCGAGGCTGAAGGCAGACTGAGGCTGAGGCTGAAGCAGGCTGAGGCTGAGGCTGAGGCAGGCTGAGGCTGAGGCTGAGGCAGGCTGATGCTGAGGCAGGCTGAGGCTGAGGCTGAGGCTGATGCAGGCTGAGGCTGAGGCAGGCTGAGGCTGAGGCCGAGGCTGAAGGCAGACTGAGGCTGAGGCTGAAGCAGGCTGAGGCTGAGGCTGAGGCAGGCTGAGGCTGAGGCTGAGGCAGGCTGATGCTGAGGCAGGCTGAGGCTGAGGCTGAGGCTGATGCAGGCTGAGGCTGAGGGCTGAGGCCGAGGCTGAAGGCAGACTGAGGCTGAGGCTGAAGCAGGCTGAGGCTGAGGCTGAGGCAGGCTGAGGCTGAGGCTGAGGCAGGCTGAGGCTGAGGCTGAGGCTGAGGCTGAGGCTGAGGCAGGCTCAGGCTGAGGCAGGCTGAGGCTGAGGCCGAGGCTGCAGGCAGACTGAGGCTGAGGCTGAAGCAGGCTGAGGCTGAGGCTGAGGCAGGCTGAGGCTGAGGCTGAGGCTGAGGCAGGCTGATGCTGAGGCAGGCTGAGGCTGAGGCTGAGGGCTGAAGCAGGCTGAGGCTGAGGCAGGCTGAGGCTGAGGCTGAGGCTGAAGGCAGGCTGAGGCTGTGGCTGAAGCAGGCTGAGGCTGAGGAGCATGCAGGCTGAGGCTGAGGCTGAGGCAGGCTGATGCTGGGGCAGGCTGAGGCTGAGGCTGAGGCTGAGGCTGATGCAGGCAGAGGCTGATGCAGGCTGAGGCCGAGGCCGAGGCTGATGCTGAGGCTGAAGCAGGCTGAGGCTGAGGCTTAGGCAGAGGCAGGCTGAGGCTGAGGCTGAGGCAGGCTCAGGCTCAGGCTCAGGCTGAGGCAGGCTGAGGCTGAGGCCGAGGCTGCAGGCAGACTGAGGCTGAGGCTGAAGCAGGCTGAGGCTGAGGCTGAGGCAGGCTGAGGCTGAGGCAGGCTGAGGCTGATGCTGAGGCAGGCTGAGGCTGAGGCTGTGACTGCGACTGCCGTTGCCACTGCGACTGTCATCGCGAATGCGACTATGACTTCGAGAACAGCAGAATTCTACAACTGGATTCTCATCTGAATCTTAAGGGGAATGCTTCCAGATATGCTCCTACACATCGCTGTTAGGTTGCTTTGCCGGGATAATTTTTTGGAACACCACGCGACACCACGGGCCACCGCGGGACACCGCGGCACACCTTTCGATTTCGTTCTCGATCGATCTCACTATCGATCTCACTCAACGGGACACCACGGGACACCTCGGGTCACCACATCGATCTCACTATCGATCTCACTATCGATCTCACTATCGATCTCACTCAACGGGACACCACTGGGCACCACGGGACACCTGTCGACATCACTATCGATCTCACTATCGATTCCACTTTTTGGGACACCACGGGACACCACGGGACACCTCGGAGCACCACATCGATCTCAGTATCGATCTCATTATCGATCTCACTATCGTTCTCACTCAACGGGGCACCACGGGACACCTCGGGACACCACGGGACACCACGGGACATGGGGCACCACGGGACACCACAGGACTTCGCGGGACAACCCGAGGCATCGCCGGACGGACGAACGGACGGGGGAGAATCATTTGTTTTGACTTCGCCCTGGCAAAGGCGGACACCACGGGACACAGCGGGACACCGCGAGCCATCGCCGGACGGACGGACGGACAGGGGAGACTCATTTGTCCTGTTTTCGCCCTAGCAACGGCGGACACCACGGAACATCATGGGACACCGCGAGCCACCGCCGGACGGACGGACGGGCGGGAGAGAATCAGTTGTCTTTACTTCGCCCTTGCAACGGCGATTTCAGTCCTCTCGCGCGCCCACGCAGCTTCGCCTCGCCCGCTCGCACGACGCGAACGAAGCGAAACGATTTCCTGGTTGGGGGTCTCCGTTCCATCGCGTTCTCACCCCCCAACCTCCGACAGAGAAGTTATGTTTTTTTGCTCTGGACAGGGGGTGGCGCTTTGGGGGCCTCTCCAGGGAAGACATTGCGAGGATGTCTCGAGCGGGAGCGCGAATTCAGCGTATCCAGGGCACGCAGGGGGGGTATCTAACAAGGTTGTCCGGAGCTGGAACCACGTGTTTTTTCATGTCCAAGCCACCCAGGGGGATATCTAACATGGTTGTCCCGAGCTGAAACCATGTGTTTTTACATGTCCAGGCCACCCAGGGGGGGTATCTGAAATGGTTGTCCCGATCTGAACCATGTGTTTTTACGTGCCCAGGCCACCCATGATAA